TGCGCTGAGCCGGCAGGGCACAAAGGGCCGGTGGAGCGCCGGGGCCAGGTGGCACGTGAGGGCCAGTGGGTGCTCAAGGAGCCGGCGGTGCGTCTAGGGCTGGCGGGGGGCGAAGGGACGGCGAGGTGCAGGAGGGGCAAGGGAGGTACGCGAGGAGCTGGCGGGTGCTCGAGGGGCCAGTGAGTGCGGAGGGCCGGCAAGGCGCGAGGGGCTGGCTAGGCGCGAGGGGCCGGCTAGGCACGAGGGGCCGGCTAGGCCTGAGAGGCCGGCGAGGCGCGAGGGGCCGGCGAGGCGCGAGGGGCCGGCGAGGCGCTAAGGGGCCGGCGAGGCGCGAGGGGCCAGCGAGCACGCGAGGGGCCGGCTAGGTGCGAGGGGCCGGCTAGGCGCGAGGGGCCGGCTGGGCGCGAGGGGCCGGCTAGGCGCGAGGGGCCGGCTAGGGGCGAGGGGCCGACTAGGCGCGAGGGGCCATCTAGGCGCGAGGGGCCGGCTAGGCGAGAGGGGCCGGCTAGGCAAGAGGGGCCGGCGGGCGCTAAGAGGCCTGCACGGCGGGTTAGGGGCCGGCGGGGTAAGCGGGGGGTCAGAGCGGCCCGTGAGGGGCTGGCATTACGCTAGGGGCCAGCGGATGCGCGAGGAGCAGGTGGTACGCGAGGGGCAGGCTGTGCGCTAGGGGCTGGCGGCTACGCTAGGGGACGGCGGAGGCGCCAGGGGCCGGCGGGACGGTAGGCTAGGGTGAGGTGCGGAAGGTTGTGGGCGGACCTAACCTACTCATGATACCATGTTAGAATACGATAATGACTAGAAACAAGAGAGAACAGGGGAGATATAGGGTTGGAGTTGTACCCCCCTAAGAACACACACCTATCTAGCCTATAACTTCTACATACAAATATATGTATAAGTTGTCAGCATCCACCAGGGACTTCGTTCTCTGCACCTACAACACCACAACAAGCATCATAGTAACAAGCACCATCGCAACAAGCAGCAGCATCAGTATCAGCAGATTTTAGTGGAATGGGTCTTGATGGCTCTAGTTATGCAAGATGTGCAGCTGCTCCAAGCTCCAGTTCTCTGTTTGCGTTTACACCTGCACAACAACAACAGTTCCAATTTTTGCAGCAGCAACAACAATCGCAACAACAGTTTCAGGCGCAACAGCAACAGCCACGATAGTTTCCACAGCCACCTCAAAATCAGCCACAACAATAGCAGTTTCCGCAGCAATAGATTGGCTTCACTGGACCTGTTTTTCAAGCTCCAAATATTTTGAGCAACACACAGATCAAGGTGACAATACCTTTCAATGGCGCTGACTTCTACTCCTGGAGTTTCGAATTTGAGCTCCTCGCGAAATCTGCTGGATTATGGCCTTTCTTTAGCGGCGATTATTCGTATCCTGTCAGGGGAACACAGATGGAACAGCTGAGTTTTCTTCATGCTTCACTCAGCGCTTATACTGTTCTTATCCGAAACGTGACGCTGAAAGAGCAGCTTGGGATATGCCCCTTTCACACCAGCTTGACTCCAGCTGAATATACATGGAAGCATTTGAAGGGACTGTACATGGTACAGGATAAACCATTTTCGTAAGTAAGATTCTCTCACAACTGACAACTGTGCAGATGCAGGGCAACGAAAACGTTTCGGATTATATCAACAGGGCTCGCACACTTCGCGACCAACTAGAAAAGTGCGGCGGATACTTCCCAAAGGACATGTTTGTAACAATTCTTCTTGCCGCCTTGGACCAGAATGACGGCAGTGTCGATCTCCTCTTCGCATTCAACCAAATCTTTATGAAGCCGAAATTTGTTCAATTCTTCAAGCAGAGCAGCAAGACCTTGATCTGCAAGCAGCACGTAACAAAAAGGGGGCAGTTCGTGTCAGTTTCTATTCAACACCTGCAAAACGCATCAACAATTTTTTTTGCCACTATTGCAAAAGGAATGGACACAACATCAAATATTGCAACAAGCTTCAAGCTGATAAGAAAAGAGGAGTGCAGCAGCCGTCGCAGCAGTCCAAGCAACCCATGAAGCAGAATCCACCAACAATAACTTTTGCACATCCGGAAAACAAGATTTCAGCTGTGTTACTACAGTTCATGCAACTGATTCAGATTTCGACGATGATGAAGAAACCAGCTCGATTGAACAACCTAAGAATATGGTCTTACCTCAGGTTTACGCTAATCTCGCTCGGATTATTGCAGGACCCAACACTTGTTATCTTGACAGTTGTTGTGGTCAACACATGTGCTCTGCCAAGGCGCTTTTCATTACTCATCAGTGTCCTCTTCGACGTCTAATATTTGTCACAGTGGCAAATGGACAAGCCATTATGGCACGATCAATCGGCAGCATCATGTTGGAATCTATTGACGCTGGTTTTTCCTTACACGTTACGAACGTCCTCATCGTTGCTGGACTTGGTTTCAATCTTCTTTCAACAGCTAAACTCCTGCGATTTATGATCCAGACACAAGGAAATTGTGACACTATGGACCAGGAACTTTATCACAACGAGACCAATACTTACATTGGGAGAGCTGCCACCCAATATCGTGTCTCTGTTCTTCAATTTGAAGCACAAGGAACTTCGGCTGATTCCGAAAGAGTGATTTCTCTTGGACCTTGGCAACATCCTGAAGAAACTGATTATCAAAGGGTCGACGTGGACTTCCGTGCAACTGCGGTTCCAACAATCTCTTGTATAGCCGCTGCAGTTATTACAGCTCTTGATACGTGGCTAAAAACACAGCCGAAGAAGATATATCTACGTGACGGAATTATTATGCTACTCTAGCACAACTCACCAACAAACCTGAAGTACCTTGGGGACCAAGCAGCGGTAGCAGCAAAGCAGAAGCAGATGAGCAACAGAGTAGCAGTTAAGCATAAACAGGGGTTCTCATCGGTCAACCTGCAGCAGATACAAAAGAAACAGAAATCGAAGAAGGGGAATTAGATTTGGAACCAGACAAAATTCTCGACGTGGAGGTTAAAACTACTAAGTTACCTCTTACTCGTTTCGTTCCTGGCCAACTCAAAGAATCTCCAACGCTGATTTTAATCTGCAATCAACAGGACATAAAACAACAGAGGACATATGGCATCAACGGTTAGGTCATCCATCTCAGGGGATACTCAATCATTCTATACAAGCATCGGTTCTTGACAAGAACAGTTTACTCTACCTGATGGAACAGAGATGAAGCCGTCCTCCCGACTGACCATCTGCACAACGTGTACCACTGCTAATCTTCCTCATGAACCATTTCCAATTCACTTTCCAGGATCGATTCACTACATGCTTATGCAGAAAGTCTATTGCGACATCCTAAACTTACCTGAAGCATGGCCTAAGGGGGAGCTCTATATGATATCTTTTATCGAAGCTTCTGTCAACATTCCAGCTGGCCATATGGCTCACTCTATCTTCGTCGCATGAATCGCGGTCGCTGAAAGAGAATCGAAGGAAAAGCTTCAAGAATGTCAAAATGATGGCGCAGGAGAGTATACCAGTAACAATTTTACTAAGTATCTTCAAACCCTAGGCATCAAACGCTGAGGGTCTCTGCCACATCAACAGCAACAGATGGGGTAGCAGAGCGGATGAGCAGGACCTTAAAGGAGAAGTTGCACATTTTATTAATTCAAGCTGCCCTTCTACCGCATTTTTAGACATACGCCTTGGACCATGCAGTTCTTCTACACAACTTGCTGTCCACAACATCTCTTCCATAATTTTCTTCGCCGCATCTGCAGTGGACAAAAACAGTTGGCAACACAAAACTTTTAAGAGTTGTTGGCTGCATCGTCCACTACCAGCCTCCAACTGTAGCAGTCGGAAAATTTTCAGAACGTGTTAAGTGGGGTATTCATCAAGGCATCGAGAAGCAGTTTTACGCATGGAAAATCATGGATCTTTGCACGAGTGAAATCGTACCAGCATGTGATTGCCTTTTCTACGAACGACTCACCTTACCTATTTGTTGTGTCATGTCATTATATGCTATCACATTCTGTCTGCCTCCCATCCCTTGTTTCAATTCACATGTATGGTTTGAACGTGTGAAAGAATTTGTTGTGGTGTGTTCTGGAGTTTGGGAATGTTTTGCGTTTTTTGTTTGAGCAGGTATTTGTGATGATAGATTTGAGAAGATCTTTCCGACGCAACAAGATCACTTCAATTGGAGCAAGAACGCGAAAGCTATGAAGATTCAAAATTCATGAGCTTGCGTTACAATTGCGGCGGTTACAAAGTGAAGTTGTGGGGTGACTTTATATGGAGTTGGGACCTTTGGGGGTTGGGGAAATTTGTCACTCTACTGTAACAACTGCAAATTGGTTGGGAACAACCAAGCTAGGTTGGCAAGGGTGGCCAACTTGGATGGATTGGTTGGGAAGGGACAAATGTCAAAGTTGGGGTTCCTATAGGGAGGGAATCTTTGTGCTTATGGGGTTTCCTTGGTTGGAGACTCTCTTGGGACCTTCCCTCTCATCTCTCTCTTCTATCCCAACCTTTCTCTTGCTCCTCTAATTCCTTGTGAGATTCTTGAACTTTGATTGAACTTTTGAGATTGAGTTAATTTCTCCTACAGCTTACCCCCAGTGCGTCGAAAGCCATAGCGTCGCGAATACTTCATCAATGAACGTGATTCAAATTGGGAACGGTAGGTGAGATTAAGAGCTACAACATGTTCAAGTTTCGCGACATTCCAACGGCTATTTTTTTCTCGACGTCGTTTCTTGTGAAGACAACTTTTCTGTCCAGAATTTCGGATTTATATTTTGAGTAATTCTAGCTCCTAAGTTCACCTAGACTCCGTCCTTAATCCTAACATTTTTTGTGCTCACCAGGCAACAGCTGCCAACCCTGCCAGGCTGTTAAAAGGCTCGCGTGCTTTTGCTACCAACGAAGCTGAAGCAGACGTACAGGACGAAGCAGTTGCCGAGTCTTCAAAAGCAGCCACCAACATCCAGTGCCAACCACGTCAGCTCGAACTGCTGAATTTATCCCACTCAGCGAAGCCAACTCTGAAGCTGTCAGAGACGTTCTTCTTGATTATGAGCGTGATCGCCAGCAGCAGCCCATGCATGTCGTCTCCGAACCAGCAATCCGTGTGACACCTGGCAAAATTGGGGGGAACAGAGGGCAGAAGGCAATTTCTCCTGTGTCAACTCCAATCGTCCTTGTTTTACAGAAACTAGGTTACAAGTTTTGGGACTCGCAGTTGCAGTACAGTTGAATAGCAGTAAGTTTTAGGAGCCAAAAATAGTTCACCAAGGTTTGACCAGTCCATACAGGGAAAAAATGGCGAGAAGCCATGGGCTGGGAGTTAGCAGCTCTGGAAAAGTGAGGTACCTGGGATTTGATCCCACTAAAAGAAGTCAAGGGGAGTAAGGTACTTACCGGCAAATGAGTTTTTCGTGTGAAGACGAACGCTGATGGTTCCCCTCGCGCTTAGCTGGCCCTCGCGCCTAGCCGGCCCTCGCGCCTACCTGGCCCCGCGCCTAGCAGGCCCCTCGCGCCTAGCCGGCCCCTTAACGCCTAGCTGGCCCCTCGCGCCTAGCTGGCCCCTCGCGTGCTAGCCGGCCCCTTGCGCCTAGCCGGCCCCTCGTGTCGAGCCGGCCCCTCGCACCTAGCCGGCCCCCCTCCCGCGCCGAGCCGGCCCCTTGCTCACCGGCCCCTCGCGCGCCCTCCAGCTCCTCGCGTACCTCCCCGGCCCCTCCTGCACCTCGCCAACCCTTCGCGCTCCACCGGCCCTAGATGCCCCGCCGGCTCCTCGAGCGCCCACTGGCCCTCACACGCCACCTAGCCCCTTCGCTCCGCTGGCCCTTTGGACCCTGCCGGCTCTGCGCGTCTTGGGCCCTGAGCGCCTCGGGCCCTCCTCGGCCTCCCGCCTGGTTTTCTCACTGGAGAGCCCTGCCGCCACGCCGCTATGCCGCCGTGCTGCCGAGTACCTGTGCCGCTGAGTACCTGTGCTGCTATGCCGCCGTGACACTCCTTATGGCAGGGCAATCACGTTGTTACAGAGGCTACAGGGTCCACTACAATAGCAACGCTGTACAAACAGAGTTCAGCCATTAAAAACCCTGAAATTTCAGGGTTGTGTCAAAAAAAATCCTAGCACATAAAAAAAAAACCTCTGAAAAAACCCTGAATCAAGGAAATTTGCCTGAAATCTAAGGGCCTGATCCCTACGCTACTCCGCCGCACCATAGTTGTACGCACAATAGTCATGCCCTGTTAATTATCGTGGCCAAGGAAATGCCCCTCCGGCCTCGACACATCAATCTGAAAAACAGAAACGGATTAGTTGGAGAAAGCAGTTCCAACGAGTGCCAAACAAGTCGCTCTCACCTTCAACTTGCACACATTTGCCCTTGCTACTTGGATGGCTATGTTCTGTTCTGTTATGGACTGGAACATGCGGTTGAAGCTCAGACCCTTGCGTGGAACCCAGCATGCACAAGAGAAGAAAAATTGGTGCTCCATTGAAGCCCATAAAACTGCCAAGCCACACATGATTATCAGCCCCCTTAGAAAAAAACATAGAAAACCATCCACATGTCCTTAGAAAAAACATTAAAAAAACATCCACTTGTTTTTGCAAGTAAAATGTGTCAAACATATTTGTATATGTTATAATAGGCTAGATAGGTGCATGCTTTTAGAGGGTACAACACTTGAACAAAATCAACCTGTATGCCTTCATTCTAGTAAACTTTCCTACTAAGAGATGGTATCACGCGCTAGGTTAGGTCCTCCCCACCACCCGCGCTTCCGGTCTCGTCCTAGTCCTAGCCGTCCGCTCCTAGCCGCCCCTTAGCACCCGTTAGCGCCCCGGCGGCCCCCTCTGGCCTGTTCGCGCTCGTCGCCCCGTTAGCGCCCCGTCGCCCTTGTGCGCCCCCTCTGGCCCTGCTCGCCCCGCCGGCCTGCTCGCGCCCCGCCGGCCCGTTAGCGCCCACCGGCCCGTTAGCGCCCCGTAGGCCCGTTGGCGCCCCGCCGGCCCGTTAGCGCCCGCCGGCCGTTAGCGCCCCGTCAGCCCGTGCGCCCTCTGGCCCTCCTCGCCTCGCCGGCCTGTTAGCGTCCGCCGGCCCATTAGCACCTTGACGCCCCGTTCGCGCCCCGTCGGCCCGTGCGCCCTCTGGCCCGCTCGCCCACTGGCCCGTTAGTGCCGCGCCGGCCCGCTAGCGCCCTACCGGCCCGTTAGCACCCCGTCGGTCCCGTGCGCCCATCTGGCCCTGCTCGCACTGCTGGCTGTTAGCGCCCTACCGGCCCCGCCCGCGCCCCGCTGGCCCCGTGTGCCCGTCGGCCCTCGCCAGCCGTAACCCCGGCCGCCTAGCCAGCCGGCTCTAACCTCGCCGGCCCCCGCTTCAGCGGCCAGCCGCCGGACCCTCGAGTCCATCGCCGACCCACCGGCTCTGGCTCCCTTCAGCGCCGGCTTCCCTGCCGGCTGTCTCCACTGCTCACCACCGCTCTCCATCCCACTCCACTGCACTCCACCGTACTACAACGCACTCCACCGCACTCCACCACACTACACCGCACTCCACCGCACTCCACCGCTCTCCACCGCACTCCACCGCACTCCGCCGCCTTCACCGATTCCTCCACCTGTCCTCCTCCCTCTATCAGCGGCCGTCAGCAGCTGCAGCAGTGGCAATGCGGAGTCACAGCTTTGTGTGGACGCAGAGTGTCGGGCGCTCGACTTTGAGGCGTGGTCGTCGACCTTCGGCGTCACCTTACACGTCAGCACCAGGACGGTCACTCCATGGCTGTTCATGTCGATGGGCTGCTTCCCCGCCCCGCCCTGCTGCCCTCCGTGATGCCCCACCACTACTGAGCGTGAGGCCTTTTCCGCTGCTGCACTTGATCAAGCCGTTTGGGACTCGTGCGACGCTGTCGCCAGCTTGCCGTGCGCTCCCCTGTCTGAGCGTCCTCGCTTTACTGTAGCCGAACCCAGGTCTTAGATGTTGTCATTGCGCGCTAATTCCATCCCCGCCACTGCCTCTGCTGGA